CCATCTTGGCTTCTGAGAGACACTGACACTCTGAGAAGCTCTTTTTATACCCAATCATGTTGTCAATTGACCTAATTAGTGTTAATTGGTCTTCCAGCTGTTCGTTATATGCTCAATTTCCTTTTTCCAGCCACGTATTGCTACTTGTCCCAACTTTTTTGAGATTTGTTGACACTGTGAAATTTTCAATCAACATATTTTTCCTTTAAAATGTTACATTAAATTCAAATTCAATTCAAAAATACTTTATTAATCCCAAAGGGAAATTATTTGTTGTTGTAACTCGTTATCCTCATTTCATTAAGAGATGTTATAGATGCGGATGGCTGTAGACAGAAAGGATCTCTTGTAAAGGTCCATCCCACAGTGGATCCTAAGAAACTGGCTGCAGATGCCGTCCGATCCGTCCACCCAGACTCTGCTTGCCTCTTGGTTCCCTCGGTCTGTAGGACCGCCCGAATGCCGGGCAGAACTTCTCCCAGAGTGATGGCCACTTCTCCCAGCAGTCTGCCAAGCTCCTCATCGCTGCGGACAGCCAACTGTAGGTGTCGAGGGACGATCCTGTCCTTCCGCTGTCATGAGCCATGTTTCCTGCTAGTTCCAGGATCTCAGTGGTCAGGCACTCGAGCACAGCTGGCAGGTAAATGGGAATGCGTCCACAGAACATCCTTTTCAACTTATTTGAGATTTGGGGCTGTAGTTGAGATATTATTTGAGCTTTTCGAGATGTTAATCAGCTGCTGTTGGTTGTAGAAAACTGCCTTGTTGCCATGGTTACGCATCATAACAAATGTCCAAAACTAAAAAAGTTTCAGTAAAAGTCCTTCCAGCTGCACAGCATCTGATACCAGAGGAAACAATCATCCAAAAAAAAAGTGATTTACATCCAGAAAAACAGGAATTAAAAGTTTCCAAAAGCAAAATCTCAGAATGAAGTAACAGAGCTGCTCCAACATGCAGCCACCAGGAGCGGCGCAATTCTAGAACCTTTACTCAGATTAAACTTTTGATCTGTCATCTACATTATATTACGAATAAAATATTGACATTTGCCATCTCCATATCATTGCATTCAGTTTTTATTCACAATTTGTTTAGTGTCCCAACTTTTTTGGAATCCAGTTTGTATATTTTGAATTTAAAAAAATTCCACTATTAGGTCCAGAGAGTTTTTAAATAATAAACAAATCAAGTATTAGGCTTCTTGCTTGTAATGCAAAACAGTGCAAAATATATAAAATTTAGTTTTAGCCATATGTTTTAAACAAAGGAATATGTTGTTAACTCTTAACAGATTCCAGTCTTCTCACTTAAGACATGAACAGCAACAGAGCAGCATTTTACACTGAAAACACTTCCCCCTCCAACCCTCTAGTGGGCGAATCCTTCTGCGTTAATGGAGAGCTGACACAAAACGAGTCTGTGGCTTTGACCAGAGGGTCTCGAAGTAAAATCACACAACAGCGTTCTTTTCACAGATCCGAGAGCAGGTTTCTCTAAAGCTGACCAACGCTTACTTTAACTTTAGACGAAAAAAAAAAACCTTTCGACGGAACACAGCGTTTTGTGCATGCGTCCGAATACGGCAACACTACAGCAAGCCGACTGTAGTTAGCTTGTAGCTTGGCTACTTAGCTCTCGAAGAAAAGACTTTAACGCCACTTGCGCAGATTTCAACTCAAAAAAAGTTAACTATTAAATCTGACAGCTCTGATTTTACACTTGAACACCACTTACGCGCAGTTTTAAACCAAAAAAAGTAACGATTAAACTGATAACTCTGATTTTATATCAGACACAGCATTACTACGGTTAGCTGGTAGAAGACAGATCTCTATCGTAGGCTAAATTTCTATCATTTCTACCGTGTACCGTATATATTGCGCATTCCTACCTGGACCTATATCTGGACCTACCATTCTATGTTCATCTGTCTCTCCTTCCTGTCCTCTCAACCAGCCGGTCAAAGCAGATGGCTGCTTGACCTGAACCTGGTTCTGCTGGAGGTTTCTTCCTTTTAAAAGGGAGTTTTTCCTTTCCACTGTTGCCACTGTGCTTGCTCAGGATGGGAGACTGCAACGAAGCCAAGATTCAACTTGTCTGCTGGATTCCTTAGAGAACTTTATTAATTGGCTTTTATGTATGTGAATGTTCCTGTAAAGTGCCCTGAGACAACTTTGTTGTGATTTGGCACTATAGAAATAAACTGAATTGAATTGAAATTGGTCTCCTACACTGAAGCTGACAGACACACTTACTCTGAGAACGTCAGCAGCAGAGGAACAGCAGGTAATGACACAAGCAACCGGTACTATAATTCAAAAATATTAAAGTAAATCTAAGATTAAAAAAATTACTAAAATCAATATAAAATTGAACATATAACTTTGTGAATGAGTAAAAATGTTAGGAGCAACTGTATTAATTTTCTTATTTTAGACTGTGATGCAAACATGACAATGTTTCCTAACATTTTTTTTTAAGGTTCAGACGAGTGAAGGGCCGAGTTTGATCCAATGAAAAGTTCCAGTGCAAGGACTCTCCTAGACCTGGATAGTCTCAGATCCTAGACCTGGGTCCAGTCTTGGATCCTAGACCTGGGTAGTCTCGGATCCTAGACCTGGGTCCAGTCTCGGATCCTAGACCTGGGTCCAGTCTTGGATCCTAGACCTGGGTCCAGTCTCGGATCCTAGACCTGGATCCAGTCTTGGATCCTAAGGGGATGGCTGCTCCAGTCGGGCGGTCCCACATGACGAGGAATCTGTTCCAGTTTGTTTAAAGTCAGAAACTCCACTGGTCTCCATCACTCCTTGTTGAGTTGTTGATCTGGTATTTATTCTGTAGCCCATTATGATCAGCTGCATGGAGTCATTTTCATTAAAAGACATCAAATCACCCACAGTTCTCATCTTGTATTCAGTTTCAACTGTTTTGAATTTCTAATTATAGGCTTTGACTCAGAACTGTGTCAGTCTCCTCCTGGAGGAGGAACATACAGCAACATGCATGTTTTATGTTTTGTACATGTCAATAAAACACTAAACTGGTAAGTTGCCAAAGAACAATCACTACAGCTAGGTTTTATTTATGTGTAGTAAAATAATGTCTAGTAGAGATGACATTACAATGAAACTATTTCTCAGTATTTGAGATTAAACAGAGTATTTTAATTATTGAAATGAAGAAGGTGAAACTTGGTGCAACTGTTTTATTCAAACAAAAGGTCAGCACACGTACATTTAGGAATGCATGTTTCACAACCACACTAAATATACTTGAAAAGCAGATTCATTTATAGAAATGATATTTTCACTCGTTTGTTGCTGTGATGCACGACTGCACACAACTTCTGGACCAAGTGGAGTTGCATCTTCTTGGAGAACCTCACACAGAAATACAACACAAAGGAAGAAAACAATTAAAATGATGATCTTGTTTCAGGGTTTTAAAACAACA